CGGTACAAGTTGCTTCCATCATCCTTGTCCGATATGTGCAGCTGCTCTCTGGTTTGGATTGATTTCTTCAGGTAGTGTAGGGTAAACTGAAACACAGCGGTTCCCCACGAGTAATCATCACATTCAGGACTGTCGATCATGTCAACAAAACAGCGGTCTATGCGAAGAGCATCTTGAGAGCCCATGAGGAAATTTGCTAATAAATGCAACTTAGCAAATTTCACTGCATCTTCATCGTTCACCCACAATTTTTTCAAAAACTGCCACCTGATGTGACTCCTGCTTAACTCCACAGCATCAAAATACTTGTCGTGCAGACCACCGGCAATCTTTGGAATATTCAATTTCTTACTATGTCCAGTGCACTTCAAACCAGTCACGACAGCAAATTCCTCTATCCCAAATCGGAGAAATTTCCCTCCGAAATCGAACCAAATTTCATCAGTCCTACTCTGATGAACCTCGCGTAGGAGTATATAGTTGATGAGTTGGTTCTGTACAATGCAGTGTGGGAGATCCAAGAACTTCCCAAAGGCTGACATCCTAAAAGCTTCCAATTGCTCCTTGGTAAGCATCTTCTTGATGTCACTTATCGTGCATTTTTCCTTACTGTTATCGTTACTGTTTTGCACTTTCACGTTTATGTCCCTGGGGTGCGGGATTAGCAGTTCCCATTCCTGAAAATAATGAAAAGAAAACAATATGGATTTTTATATACATGATTATAACTTACAAATATGATACAATATGATACAACTTACAGTATTGATTGTAACTTATAATATAGGACCATATCATAACTTACAATATGTTAACACTCCCCTGTCACTGATTATATGTATGGTATATTTCTGTTATATATATACACCATGTGCTTTTCCAGGTATATCTTACAGCAAGAAAATATACCACACATTAACATGGATATACCTGAGTATATGTACTTATCATATGAGATATATATACTGTTAAAAAAAAAAGGTGACAGGGACAGGGACTGAGTAATATACCTGATTAATTAATATAGAAGGAATTAATATACCATAGTAATATACCTGTTTATAGATATACCAAATACTTATCATACCTGATTGATTATATATTTGTTATATTCATAGTATATTTATACCAGATACTTATCATGACATGTAAAGGAACCTAAAGCAGACCATATACTTAGCAAGAGTGAAAAAGGAGCAACAGTGTTCGTGCACAGGGGTAAGATTATTAAGCTCTGGGACTACATAGGACTACATAACATGCTTAGTCAACCAAAAATCTTGGAGGTACCCATGACGATTTATTCATTGACATACACACATTCAACTGACAAAAGGATATAGTTGATAATCAATAAACAAAATCAATAAACAAATTAATAATCTTTCAGATGAGAAAATATAATGAAAAAAATGGAATGTAGAAGAAAATTTACCTTATACACTATCTGTTTCTGAACATGTTGCATGCCACTTGGGACGCCGGTGTTAGGTTTTCTCTTTTTCTTGTTCTTCTGAACTGCATCTTTCTCTGGTTTTTGCCTTTTGTTGATTCTTTTCTTGAAATTTTCGGCCGGGAATTCTTCGTCGCTCTCCAATCCCTCGCAATCGACGTCTTCGGGTTGAATTTCATCTTCAAAGTCGGTGTCAGAAGATTTTTCATTTTCAGTGGAATTGGGGATTTTTGATTTACGGTGAAGACGAAAAGATTTTTGAGTTCTACGGTCTTCGTTGGATTGGAAGTCGTCTGAATCAGGGGATGAAATGTTCTTCTTCACTCTTGCGTTGCCAGTGGGCTTGCGATTAGGTTTAGGGTTCATATTTCTCTCAAAGACGAGTTTCTTCTGCACGAGTTTGGGTTTGGATTTTGCGTGGATCTTACGAAGACGGGAACTCGATCTTATCTGTGGTGTTTCATCATCTTCGTTCGCCGTTTTTTTTCGAGGATCTCGAGCGATTTTTGTCTTCGCCATTGGAGTATCTTCGGTTACTGAGTTTTCCTTCTGTGCACGACGGTGAACGTGGGCGGTGGGAGTGGGAGGTTTTTTTGTTGAAAAGATATTGAGTGCATTCAAAATAACCGTAAAATCAGTAACGTTCCTTAATTATCTGATGTATTTAATTACTTGATATAATTTACTTAATTTTACTGTTTAGGTATAATAGCAAATAATTAGGCTTGTTTAGGTAATTATACAAATATTTGTAAAAGGGGTGCATAATTATAATATATTTCATATGAGGAAGTAAGGGGTGCAAATTCCTCAATTATATATAGGGGATACAATTTCTTAGTTGGGCGCCCTTTATGATCCATAACATGGAAGTCCAGAAAATTTGAAATTAAATTACAGTAACAAGGTTCAATAAAAATTGGAATGACAAAAATGAAAAGTCAGCAGTTGTAGGAACAGTGATCTAGCCAGCTTGAGTTTACAAACACCATTTTAGAAATAGTTTTTTTGAAAAAACAAACAAACAAACAAACATTTACTGCTCCAAATCCGTGCACAATAAATATCATCTCATACTTCAAATACGAGTTTACAAATACACAAATTGCACATCATATTCCAGCCTCCACATTGTGCCACCACTTGAATATTTGTGCTTCTTTAAAAAAAAAAAATATCTCCAATCATGTTTGCTACATTCATTTATTTCGAGTTTGAACTACAAACTAAATAACCAAAATATAAGACCATCTTATTAAAGGATACAAATATAACAGATAAAAAAAATATATTAAGCAAAGTGACTGGTTCTTGATGAGATCATATGCACGAGGTTTCAAAGCAGCCTCAGACTCATACTTCGTTGCAAGGAATATAATGATAGTAATGATAATCAGTCAAGCTTCACGTTGGAATACAGAAGGGTGTCCTTTGTGAGTGGCATGTTCATAAGAAAGAGGATCTGCAGCCAAACAAAAAATACATGATCAAATAATTGTCTTCGCCTCAAATACCTCAATTTCCTTGTTGACACAATCCCCAACTTACACACGATCAACCCTAGATTTTTTCCCAACTTAAATCCCACTTATAATTTTGGCACTTTTTCCAGCCTCATAAGATTCGTAGTGATTTAAGTAAACTTGCCCCTCCAAAGATGTCATTTTTCTATGTTTTACGTAAAATGCTATTTTAACAATTTAAATGAATGCGAAGAATCATGCAGGATGTCATTCTAAAGTTAACTTTACCCCCAAAAGAGTGGCAATAAGGAGAATGATTCCAGTAATCCAAGCCAAAGCCCTTCTAACAAACAACACTTCTGCAAGCTTGGCGATATCAGGTGAGGTTTCAGTTTCCTCCAGCCGACGAGCAGACGGATGATAATTTAATTTGACTTGGAACCCTAATTCGTCACCATGGGCTATAATTCCAACAATTTGTCCTGCCTCATAACTACTGATATCAGTTACTACCACAAATATATATATATATATATGAGAGAGAGAGAGAGAGAGAGAGAGAGCTCTTGTGAATTATAAGGTCAATTATTTTGACAGAAAAGCATCAGCATTCATGGAGAAGTAATAAGAAAAAGAGATCCGTATTCGAGCAGAATATATCTATAGCAATGCTCATATAACAAAAATATAATTCTTCACAAACATTAGAATGAAACTGATGAGCTAGAGCTAGGAACAAGTTGATTTCATTAATAAAGAGAAGGGCACTAAACCTTGGTATGCTGACTGCATCAAATTGAATGCTTTTGAAATGGAAGTAACAAACACTTCCAACCCACTTTGTGCAATTCCTTCTTTTCCATAAGTATCTTGCAAAGCCTGTCCCAATGAATTAAAGCATAGAACTGGACTTATACATGTACAGCAGAAAAACAGCAATTTCTAAGTTCTATAATTCTGGAATCAGCTGAAGCAAGTAGTTTCATGAAGACGTTAACTACATAGCTACTGAAGATGCATAAATGACTCGAGTCGAATTACCATTAACATCCCAAACTCACTCATTTAAGTCATAATTACAAAGAGAAATGGCACAAACAAAATGATCATACAAGGAATATTTTGCATGTGAATATGCACGTGTCGTTGTTCGATTAGAGGGGAGAAAGAGGAAGAGGAGTTGTTTTATACAAGAAATACAGGGGTACATTACCCCCTTAACAATGTACAATAATTTCAACTTTCTAAAGAAGTAATTAGTAAAGTATTAAGGATCTCAGAAGTGTAACTAAATTATCAATTGGGAAATTATTTTTTTTCTAGATTATCTTATTTACCTGAATTCCATCAAATCTCCCAGTATATAGCTCTGCTGGACTGATCTCATTTTTTGTGAAAACTTGATGAATCTTCTTTGCTTGTTTAATTTTATTGATGAGCAACATAAGACTTGTTGCGAATTCCCTGTCAGTCCTCTGTGAAAATTCAAAAGGTAGCTTTTCAATTTATTTATTTATTATTATTATTTTTTTTTTTTTTGNACTACAATTGTGAAAGACAAAGAACCTCTGATAAATGAAGTCTCATAAAAGAACCATTGGACGTTGGAAGAATTAACTCTCCATTCAATGGCCTGGATTTATTTTCAATGTATGATCCACCCATCCAAGATGCCTGGGTACAGAACACTAAACATTAAATCAAGCTTACACAGGAAGGAGAGGGAGGGAAGGAGAGGGAGATAGCGAGGACAGACAAATTCACTTAGTTCTTTATCTGAACATTCTGTACCACTTGATCCTTCATTCAGTGATACCAAAGACACTTCATCTTCACCTGCGAACATACAAGATATTGTAAGTTCAAGATTTCAAGTACGCCGACTTCAGGATTATTAACCAATGGCCTAGGGCAGTTACCTATGAGCTGAATGTCCGCTCTTTCATTGCCTGCAACCTTGATCCTCAGAGCGCCACTTAGTGGGGATTCACCATGGTCAGCAACAAGTTCAAACTCTGCATATATTCACCACTTCATAAAAAGGACAACTAAGCACTGAAATTAACATTCCAGCAGATTCTGATAGAGATGAAAGGATGGAAGGCTATCAATTTTAGAATAACTTACATTGACTCTTTGGATCTTAATTGGTACTTAATCTAAGGAATTTTTACTAATTATTTTCCCTTAAATGCTATTATTTTCTTAACCCTTTTATTTCTTATTACCATTTTATATTAGCAATAGTTTAGCATACAAGAGCGAGTGGTCAATAGGATAAGTATGAAGAGACTTATTTTGTAATAGCATATGCTATTGGGCAAGTTTCATGCAGGACAGTGATTCTGCTGGAGAAGTATCATACTTCTTAGAGAAGTTTTATATTTCTTGTTCGTCCCAATTATTATTTCAGCAATAAAATTATGTGTCTTTTTTATTCCGACCTTTACTCGTATCAGATTCAGTTAAAGCAGCATACCTTCAGCTCCTGTGACTTCAAGCAGCAACAAGGCACGAGGCCTATCAAATGGATTAGGCATAAGCACCTCATTTAGCTGCAAAATGGAGAGTCATATCAATACTAGAGTTACTATAGAGATGAATAAATCATGACATAATTATGTTATACCTTGGATGAGCTGGCAGCAGTTACTGTAGGATAAGGTGTGAAGCCAAGCAGCACTGATGCAGCTGCACTAATTTCAGATGCGGAGAATGAACCTGACTGCAAAAGTTACAAAGGACTCAGCATTCTTCCAAGTCAACAAAACTAATTCAGATCTAGAAAGTAGAAGGCACAATAGCATGAGATTAAATGGATATCCTCTATTCTACTTAATTCATCTCCAGCCTTTCTCTATTAATCCGCATGTCTTCAATGTAATCTTGAATTACCACATTTACTTGCCAAAATCAGAATAAGCATCACATATTTAAGTTCACAAAAAAAAGGACCTAACTAATTAAATGAAAAGTAAAATAATAAAATGTATGAACCTATTGCTTCATGTCATTTCGAGAGGAGTTATCAGAAATGATTTACTCTTTTTACCCATGAAAATGTTCGATTGCATTACCCAGATCACAACGTATCTTTTTGTTAAAACAACTGACAATGAAATAAATGTGATTACATTTCCATACAACTGTACTTGATACCATCTTATTCAACACTATTATACTTTACCAGCAAAAAGCCATACTTCTGCAGAAACATGTTATGAATATTAACAATGTAAATAGTTGTTTTGGAAAATCCGAAAATGTTTGAATATATTTTACATGAAATATGAATGTGTCGTCTCACATAAGATTTGCTTAAGATGCGCTTACAATAGACCACCTGAATTAGAAGCCATCCTTTTCAAAACACAAAACCTAAATTTAAAGTAGTGTTATCTTTAAAATGATAAATGTAGTTCTTAAGGAACTCTACAAGAACTGTGCCAAACTATCCAGACTTCCAGATTTGTATTCTTGCTATATAAGCGAGCAGGAAGCACACCAGCAACATGAGTCCAAATTTCTTAACAAAATATATAGAGACCATACATGCTTAAGCTACATATTGGCAAAACAACCCTAGTCAGTTCAATTCCGCAATGAACTCTATTGTAGGTATTCTAGCTGCAGGATTCAGAGTGTGTAAAGGCAAACTTGATTTGACCCTCACATTCATGCTTAAGAATGAACAATAAAGTGAGCACATTCTCCATATCAGAACTACTTGGCATTTAGAATCATTCAGAATAAGTCAATACGTAACGGACAATTGAACAGCATTTGCTGAAAATGGAAAACAATTCCGAGGGATGATAAGCCAGAAAATAAAATTTCAAAAAACACGGGTTTTTTGCACTAATAAATTGTAACAAGACAAAGTTTTAGCTTAAATATGTTAGATTTGCAAACCTTAAAAGCCTATACATCATCTTTTTTCAGAAGGTGGTGAAATTCAAAGCATTACCACTAAAGGGATTAATGTCTCTTAACTCGCTACCACACAAAGGAAGATGAGACATCAAATAAAGTGGTGGTAAAAGGAGAGATAGTTTTGAACTTCTTAATGTCTTAATTTAGTAAATAATAAATAAAAAAAAAAAATCTATTTGAATGTTCTTCCGAGTGCCAATCATCCACGTCTCTCTCCCCCCATCATCATTCTATATGTTTACCCTAGATAGGAAGTCTCCGAAGGCTACTACTGAGTAGTCATCTACATACAACGACAAAGGGCAAAATTCGGTATACAAGAATTACCTGAGGTGATGACTGGCGAAGGTACTGGCGAGTAGGGCTATCGAGGAAAACAACCGTAGAATCCCCTGAAATCACCTGAAACGAATTCGAGCACAAGTGATGAAATTCAAAACATCTAATCAGATCCCCAAATAAACATATTCAATGCCCGACCATTACACAGAGAGAGAGGGGGGAGGGGGGTGGAGGGAGAGAGAGAACCTTATAATGTACAAAGAAAAGAGAAAGGAGCAGCACTGTGAGATTGCAAACTCTCCTAAGATCCATTATAGAGAGAGAAGCGTGGGATCTGTGATATGGGAGGCGACGAAGATCGGAAAGATGATGAAGACGAAGATGAGGATCAAAGACCACCAAAAATTTATGTGCCAGACACCGGTTTTATGCGGGTTTGGAGAAATAAAGGAAAATCTATACTTATATAAAAGAATAAGGTATCCATTTACGAGATAGATTTAGTATAAAGAAAAGTCAAAGATAATTAATATTTGTTGAAAATAGAATGACATCAATTACAGATTTGTTTTGGTATTTATAGCTTGACATTAAAAATTAGTTATGAGATAAAAATCAAAATCGATTTTTTTACCTTTGCTGGAAAAGTCAAATGTAAGTATAGATTTCTTTTAGGGTCAAAATCTTTTTCACCCCGTTATATTTCTATTCTTTCTTTTACACACCGACCCGTCAAATAACTTCTTTTACACCCCAAAAGTCACGAAATGCTATGCGATATTACACTCACATGTCTAAATGAACCAGCGCATACCCAACCAGACGCATAATGTATGACTATGCGAAACCATTTCGCATGTTTAAGGATCGCATATCCAAATTAAACGCATAATTACAAATATGCGAGAATATTTTGTATTTTTAAGAATCGCATATCCAAATCAAATGCAACATAATTTACGATGGTTATGCGCCTTCCGTCTTTTTGCAGGGCTATACGACCTTGCAAATTTATGACTATGCGAAACTCTTTCGCATATAATTCGCATAATTTGTTGACTTCGCATTTTTTAGTAATTGCATATCCAAGTCAATCGCATAATTTACTAATATGCGAAAAACTTTCGCATATATCCAGTATAACGCCGGATAATTGACAAATATGCGACATTTTTTCGCTCGCATATTTAAGAATCGCATAACCAAATCGAATAAAGCATAGTAATTTATTTGACGATTATGCGCCATTTTTTTGCAGGGCCATATCAACCTTGCAATTTTACGACTATTCGAAATTTGTTCGCATATCTATCGCATAAGTTACGCACCTCATTAAATTGACTGCTTTTTCACAGGTGAGGATTTTGTCTCTGCATTTATCATGCAGGCAAAAAAACAGTGATCTCTAACAATTTAACGTCTGCACTCTGTATATTATCCCATTCAGTAATTAATAAAAGTAATTATTCTAAGTATGAACTAATTACTTTTATTAATAATGCTCATTCCTAGTTCCGAGCCAGTTATTAAGTTATTCAGTTAAAAATTCGACTTTAAGTCGAAAGTATTCTCAGTTCAATATTATTCAGTAATCGAGCCAGTTCAGTAATTAATTAATTCCGGTCTTTTTATTTTTATAAATGGATTTATAAGACTGGATTAATTAATATAAGATGACGAATAATCGAAATTGAGTATATTTTGATTAATCGTTTAAGATAAGTAGTGAAATGAACCCAAGTATGTTCGGTCATGAGTTGAGTTTAATTGAGAAATATCCGAGCCTTAGTACTAAATACTTAGAATTTTTCTAAGTGTTTAAGTCATCAAGATAAGATCATAATATTGAGCCTTAGCATAAGTTGATACAAGTTAAGTCTCGAAGTGCGGTTAAGTATCCATGAACATTTAAGTGATAAATGTTCAAAGAAGTGAGAAAATTTATTTAGACATTATAGCTATTTAAATTATTTTAAGAGAAACCGAAATTTTTAGGATTTTCGGTTTTATGGTAATCGTTCGGTTTAAGTCCGAATGTGGTTCCGTAAATGTAGAATATTTCAAGATAATTATATTAGATCCTAAGAAGCAATATGTTCATTAAATTGAAGAAAAACTGTGAGTAAAGAACTTAAATTTTAGAATTTTCAGTTTTACGGTAAACGTTCGTTTTAAGTCCGAATTGAGTTCCGTAAATTGTATTATTCTCGGTTTATTAGCATGATCCAAGACCATATATGAGCATTACTTTTTATTAAAAGAGTTTTAAAAATCAGCCATTTTGAAAGAAAATGCATAAATAATAAAAAAGGATGATTTTTATTATTTTTATTATTTTGTTCCAAAGATTTTTATATGATGAATGGTGACATTTTTTCAATAATATATGGAATCAATTCCATCACATTAATCACAAAATTTTGGTCATCAATTGGTGAGAATGAGATGAGAAATTCACAACAAAGTTTTGCAAAGTCTTTAAGTTAGCATTTTTTTCAACAAATGGGTGAGAATTTTATTAAACTTGGTGGACTAAGTTTTATCTACCAAAAGCTCATTCATGGCTACAAATAGAGGCATTTCAATCAGATTTTATCATCAAGTATCTCCTCAAATCATCATAGTTTCATCAAAAAGATAGAAAGAGAGAGAAAAATAAAAATAAAAATAGTAGAGTTTTAATTTTTGAAAAAGTCAAGGAGCAACTATAGATTTTCAAGCAAGAAGGAGGTAAGATGCTATCTTTTTATCATGTTTAGTAGATGATATTAAGTGTTTAATAATGTTTTTATATGACTTAGATATTAAAGTTTTATAAGAGTATAAGCATGCTAGAAGATAAGTTGTTTCCAGCTCATATATATGTCATATGTGTTCAGTTATGATGAGATTTTTACCTAGCTATGACAAATCTGGAAATCTATGCTTCCTATGGTTATTTCTTGTGTAATAGAGGAGTACATAGGATCCAGAATCAAGTCATTTAGTTTAGTGTAACTCAAGATATGAATTTTTAAAGTTTATCATGCAAGCTAAATTTTATATACTTGTTTCCAGCAACAACTTTAAACTTGAATAAGTCGAGATATATGCATGATAAAATTATGAAATTTTTATGACATGTCTAAATATGAGTTAAGAAGATGACTGCTAAATTTCATGATTTAAAGTTGAGAAATGAATGAGTTAAGATATTTAGACTGCATATATGTAAAGATGATTATATATGCAAGAATATTCATTATATGTTCAAGTTTTAAAGTGAGATTATTATGAAATATTCTCATATAAGTGATGAACAATTTGACAAAGTTTTAGTTTAATATGTTGAGTATATAATTTTATAAAGATTGTATTAAGTATGACATATTCATATCATGATTAAATGTTATGATTAAAAGTTGAAGTATGACTTGAGTTTATTTTCACTTTCAAGTTAATTAAGTAAAAGTTTAATATAAGATAATATTTAAAATTTGGGAGATATGATGTATGATGAATTAAGTATTTGATTGAGTAAAAGATCAAGATAAGTTTTATGAATTATGAAAATGATGTTGGTAAAAGATAAGTATGTTTTGAGTTCATGTATTTAATCAAGTTTAATGTGAAATTTAGTTATTTTCACATTTGAGTTATTTAAGTGACATGCGAGTATAAACCAATATCTATGATTTTGAAGACATGATTTATATAAGGTTAAGTAATTAACCTTGAGTAAAAGTTTAAGAAAAAGTTAAGATGTTTGATGACTTAATATTTATTTGAGACATATTAAGCTTATTGAATATCTTTAAGATTCGGATAAGTAAGAGTTAAATCTTATTGAGTATACGAGCATAGTACTTAGTATATTTGTTTATATTTTTAGGTAGCTTGCAGATATAGCTACCCAAGAGCAACACTTACATTTTTCAAAAGTTTTCAAAAGAAGAAAGGTGAGGACCCAGACTGGGTATTACATTGAGTATAATATTGATATCATGTTCGAGGTATGTATACAGTTTAAGTTTATACGCTTGGGATGAGGAGACATTCAGTTGTCTCAGAGTATATCCTAAGTTCTGATGGAGGCCGTTTGAGTTGCCTTGAGAAATATCCGTCAGATTGTGCACAAGTATCCGATCAGATATCGGAAAGAGAAAGAGTAAAGTTTCATTAACTGAAACAGATTTTCAGTCCAGATATATATACCAAAGATCATGATATTGTATTATTATTGTTGTTTACTTTAGTATGGGTGATTTCGGGGTACAAGAGGATCAGTACTCACCCCCATTGTGTTTTTCAGGTAACAGGGTCGGGCCGGAGGTGTGAGCTCGAGATGTGGTGGTGGTGGTCGTGCACTTATTTCAAGTGGACATTTATTAAGTATTTGATATGTCTGTATAATAAACCACGTTTTTAAGTATTTCCGCTATGCACATTAAGTATTGAACTTGCATTTTTAATAAATTTCAGATTTCAAGTTTATACCATTTCGAGAAGTATGAATATGGTACAATTAAATGCAAGTTTAAAGGAAATCTGTTTTCTTTATGTCTAGAGAAGTATTAGACAAAAAATTTAAAGATAAACGAATTTTCAAGAAGATGAGTTTGAGTAGCATCTCGAGTTAGTCGCAAAATATTTCGAAAGAATTATAAGTATTTTCAAAGTAAAAGGTGCAAAAAATTTACTCTGATGAGCGGGGTGTTACAGGTTGTATCAGAGCTAGAGTAAGTGCTCAGTGTACTGAAAGTTTAAGTTTCAGAAAACAGTTTCAGGAAAACCGACCACACCACACTCACACCTCGCCGACTGCCAGGTAAATGTTGTTAAAAGTTTTTATAAATTTTTTTAAATATATTCAAATTTACTAAGTCTATGCTCAATAAGAATTCAGATATCCGAACTTTAGAAATCAGTCTATATGTTCAAGTATTAAAGTTTTAAATCTAGTTTATCAAGTTAACTAGATCAAGAAAGAGACTCGAACATTGTAAGTTAAGCCATCAAATTAATATTTGAGATAAGATCTGACTATAAAGATTGATTATGTATTTGAGCCAAGTATTAGAAGTAACGGTATTTCAGTATATAATGGCCGAAAAATTCGGGTAAATCATGGGGGTTTGAAATAAGAACCAAAAGCCGGATAAGATCCTGTAGGCTTGAAACTGAACCGTAGAAATAAAGTTTCAGAAAATAGTCAATCTTTATAAGTCAGAAGTTTTGATATCTTATCAGTTAGATATCATGAGCTAAAAATTGGCAAAGTTCGAGATTATGTTATAAGTTAATTTGTATTAGTACTTGTTAGTAACAGTACAACTATACAAAGTACGTTTCAGAAATCAATGAGTGTAAGTTTAAGGTATCGACATATAATAGTCACGTAGCCGGGAAAATTATGGAAACTTAAAATAAGGGTTATTAGTCCGAGTTACCTGGAGACTTGAAATTGAA